GAACTGAAAAATGCAGTATTTGAAAGTGGCGCCCGAATTGCAGCATGGCGCCAGTTGTCCAAAATCCTACGGTACCAAAGGAGGGGTTTGGAAAAAGGGTGCCAGGCCGAAAACAGCATGCAGCCGAAACAGCAAAAGATAGACCAGGGATCGAGCCCTGGCGAAGTCCGTAACAGGATGTGTATCTCGAAATTGGCCAGGGTCATAACATGTTTATTCTTTATTAAAGCATCAATTACCTGGAAATTCTCCATTTCAAAGAAACACAATAAAATACCAATCCAAATTATAGCACTATAGGGTGAAGAAGAGGGTCAAAGGTCTTGCCACGAGCCAGAGTCCAACCCCCAACAGTCTGACCAACAGCGTGCCAACGTGCCAACGTCTGTCTCTGACCAAAACTTGTTTGCCTTGACCTTTAGAAGTTGGAGATCACTTAAGGATTCCTGGTTGAACCATATGAGACCTGCATTTTTATTGACTTCATACTTCAGATATACATCCCATTCGGCCAGCCTGTTTATCCCTTCTGTTATAGTTAAGATAGCCATTCCCCCAAGGGAGTAGTTTGCCTTGATAAACTTCGTCACCTCATGCTTGATGAGAGGTTCCCCTGGCAAAAGCCCCGTTCTGGAGGAAAGAGGGAAAGGAAGAAGTGGTTCCCAAAACTGGCACTTCCCCATGCACCACTCCCGGGGGCTCAGATAAACCCACCTTACAAGTTCCCCCTTGAAATCTTACCGTTAGGATAACTATTCATACTTTGGTGGGCAATAAATCTCCCTGGCCCTTGGCAAGGCGGTGTTTTAGCCTTTGCTGCTTACTTATGAGCTCAGAATCCATACAAAAAGCTGGTGTTTGAATGAATGCCCTGTTCAGGGGGGAATTTTCCACAGCTAGTACCACAGGTGGTGTGCTTTGTTGTCCTTCCCTGTGGGCTGGCTCCGTGGACTGGGTTTCTATGCTTGTAATTCCTGAATTTTCTGAGTTATCTGAATTGTGTAAATTGTGCAAATTGTTTGATTGTTCTTTTCTGGGATCATTTTGTAAGACCCCAAAAGCAGGAAGGAGCTCACTGTTACCGGCAGACAATTTCAGGCCCAGTTCTTTATCACAGTCTTCGTCACGAACAGCAACTTGTTGCAACTGCCCCTGCTCATGTCCCGTTCCTTGGGAAGAAGCAGGACTGGACTCACTACCCGCTGGTTGCAGGCTTCATACACCTCAATCCCCTGTCCGTGGTGTTGTTGGCGCTGTTGGTGAAGGGGACCATGTCATGTCCTTGTGGTAAAGTTGGGGCGCCTGTAGAAGTAAAGGTTGAAATCTCTTCTGTAAACCAGGCAGGAGGTTGAAATCTCCCTGAAGTGCAAGATTAAACTGGTGGAGACAATGAATGCAGCTTGTCTCTAGCTGCCCTGGCCTAGAGCCAGGGCTATCTGGCTATTTTGCCTGTTCGGCCTGTGGGACCAGGCCGTGGCCTGACCCCACAGGCCGTGTGTTCATTCAGTCCAGTCCAGTCCTGCCTGGTACGATTGTCAGTACTAGGCCAGTCCAGTCAGTCCACTGGGTGTATACCCTAGCTGCAGTCTGTTTTCAGTCTCATTCTTCATTTGCACAGTTTGGAGTACGTGTGTGTTGAGTCTGCGTTGGAGTTGCGGTGTCCCTTCCAGCTCCATCTCCATCTCCCCCCATCCTGATCCCTTCGTCTTGATCTTGACAGACTGCCATCCCGGCGGGTCTGTCACTCTGGTATCAGAGCGGGAACGGTCCTGCTCCCACCCACCCCACCCGCAAGTGCGGGAAAATGGTGTAATCCTGATAGCGGGAATTTGGGCCATTTTCGGGGCAAACAGAGGGGAAAACAGGGAAAAAGGTGCAGCGCCGAGAGAGACGTGGCGAAGAAGGAGAGCGTCCTCACAATGCGTGCGCGCAAGCGCCAAGGCCTAGACCAACGCATGCGCGCGCAACAGGCACCCACGCTGCCCCCCCCCCCCCCC